TTTTTGAAGGGTGAATTGAATCTAATATTGTGGTATTGTCTCTCTATTTTCAAGGCTAAAGTCCTATAAAGTCCAATAGCTTTGTAAGTGTACCAGGTTGCCAATGATAATCTCAATCTTCCCATATATCAAGCTATGATATTTTTTTTTATTCCACCAACTCACATTTCAACATGAGTTGATTAAATTCAGTTGTATACTCCTCTGTCGAAAAAGCTCTCTGGCGTACGTAATGGAGTATTATAAACATATTATGTTGGCGATGTCAATCAGAAAGGACAGAAATCAATCAGCTAAATTAGGAGTTTTCTATAATTAGAAGCTTCCTTATTCCAATATCTTTATTCTGATTTATTTTTTTTTAGCTGAATATTTAAATTAGGAATATGTGTTATTAAGTTACCTAAGATAGATTACATGCACTTTATTTTGTACCTAAAATAGATTGTAAGATTGTTATTTAATGGAATGAAAGCAAAGGGAAAAGGCAATCGAGCCTATTCAGTATTCAACATATTTTTCTCAAAACTTTGACATGGTATCAGAGCCAAAATTTTGCCCTAACCACCGGTAGTTATTGGAGGACCCTCAAGTGTCCCTTCCCGTCGACTTTCTCACGGGAACGGAGGAACTATTTCTTTGCCTTGATTCACCCATCTAAGGATTTTCATATGTTGCAATTGCTTCGTCCGCCTTCGTTCTCCATCGATTGCTTCGCCTTTGATTGTGTATGCTTCACCATTCGCCTGCTTCGACCTTCTTCGACTGCTTTTTCCGTCTCCCACGTTTGGTTCCAGTTGCGATCTGCAATCTTATTCATTTGTTGTCTCGTTCGCAATCGGTTATCTCGTATGCGGTTCAAGTCTCATCCGCAATCTACGATCTTGTTCACTTCGTTCGCTTCGTCTGCTTCGGATCTCCTTCGCTAGTCATCGCTGCTTCTGCAGCATCTTCAACTGCTTCTTCCGCTTCGACTTCGGTCACTTGGGTTTCGACACTATTAGGCTTCATTCTAACGGGCTTCGGCATTTTCAGGCTTCGGCACTTTTAGGCTTTAGCACTCTCAGGCTTCAGCCTCTTGGGCTTCGACACTTTTATGCTTCGACCTCTCAGGCTTCGGCAATTTTAGGCTTCGACCTCTCGGGTTTCGGCACTTATGGGCTTCGGCATTTTTGGGCTTCAGCACTCTCGGGCTTCGACAGTCTTCGGCACTCTCAGGCTTCGGCATTCTTAAACTTCGGCAAAATTTTGGCTTCAGCACTCTTGTGCTTCGACACTCACGACTTGAAGATTTTTTGTCCTGGCAGTGTTATTAGTTTCTTGTTAGTAAATTGATGTTTTCTGATCAGTCAGCATCAATTTGAGGGGGGATGTCAATCAGGAAGGACGGAAATAAGGCAGCTAAATTAGGAGTTTTCTATAATTAGAAGACGCTTTATTTCTAATATCTTTATTCTGATTTATTTCTCTTTTAGCTGAATATTTAGATTAGGAATATGTATTATTAAGTTACCTAAAATATATTATATGCACTTTATTTTGTACCTAAAATA